ATAAAAGGAATGATTCTCATGAAAAAATTTCACCAAATGGCGCAGCATTTGATGTCTATAGATGATTGGCACCATAGGATAAATAATTAGTGTGTACACGTCGATCAAATAAACTATTTTACTTTTTTTTAAAAATGTCTGCAGTAGTAGCAAATAAAAAGAAAAGAAAAAACAGAGAATTCGTACCTGAAATTGCTGGGTAAGTGTTTTTTAATGATGGTGGTGGTGGTTGTTATCGCCTGCCACCTATCGTTGTCACTCTAGTTAATTAAAAAGAAAAACACAAATGAAAAGGAATTAATTAATTTATGCATTCTGCATTAAAACTTTTATTTCTTAAATGTAGTGAAGAAGAGGAAGGAGAATCATCAAAATCAGCAGCCGAGATGGAAACTGTAAGTAAATCACATTATTTTACTTACATTTCGTATTTTTAATAAAATTTCTAAACTATTAAAATAAAATGCAGTATGAAATGGAAGGAGATTATGAATATTCTGATGATGATGATGACGACGATGATGATATGGATGATGATGAAAGAAAACGGGGTAAATTGAGTGAATCTAAAGATAATAATAGGCCAAAAATAAATCAAGCCAACTATGTAGATTCATTTACTAAAATACCCAATGAGTCAAAAATGAAGCTAACTAGTGGAAAAATTGTAGAAGATACTAGTGATGTTAGCCGGCTAATAATCTGCATGCATAATTTCTAAATTGGTAATGGATTTCTGCATTACTTTCTTGTTATAGAAATAAAATTACCAATTTAGGTAGTAAACGGCTTAGCCGGCTAAGGATTTTTAAATGGCTAACATCATTAGAAGATACATGGTTTGGATATGCAAAGAATCAAATACATGAAGAGTAAGTTCTTTATATTTAATTTGATTTTGACATCCACAATTCTAACACACGATTTACATGATTCTGGAATGTTTTACTATATAGTCATGCCCATTCGTTTATAATAAATTTTCATGATGAAAAGGTAAAGGGCTTATTTAGTGACGCTGAATGGGCCGAATTAACAAAAGAGGACCAATTAAAAAATTTTGAAATATCGGATGAATTGGCTAAACATATGATTACTTATAAAAAGAATACGTTAAAAGAGATTAGAAGCAATCTCATGAAATCTTATCTTAAAGATGGAGAAACTTATGATCATTCTTTGCACTATGATAAAGAATGGATCCATCAGTCAGTAAGAGCTCTAGTGAATTTATGGGAAAATGATTTTTCACCTTTATCAAGAGCACAATATGAAAATTGGTATACTGTCAGCTTGATGGGACAGTTCCTAGACTTTTGTTTCAGGGATCCTAAATTTGGAACCGATATAAAAAGGTAATTATCCATTTTTTTATTAGTGCAATAAATAATTTATTATTTCTGATGTGGTCTTGTTTATGATGCTATATAGGACTGATGCTCCCTCTTCGGCTAGCAGCAATAGAAAAAATAGAGGAAAAAAATTAGGATCTAGAAAGAAAAATTGATGGTAATATTTATACCATGGAACAAAACATCGAATTGGGTGCGATCAAGTCGGCCCAACTATTCAAGGATGAATATGATCAAAAATACCTTCACAAGTCATTCAAAATGCCAAAAACTTTGAGGGATATGCTCAGCAATTTGATCAAATGTCTCAACTTTGACCAAAAAAAAAGTAATTCCTTACAAATTGTAGGATTACTACATTTTGGCTTGAGATTTCAATTTGTCAAGATGTGGCGGGCTGGTGGATCCATCACAATATTCAAAAAAAGTAATGAAGTTCATCACATATCATCAAAATTTGATCCAGTTGGTATTCAGAGCTTTTTTAAATTGTTAGCGGAGGTATATATAATCAAGGTAAAATATTTGTCATTAATAAAGCTCCGAACGGTTCGGTTCGGTTCGGTTCAATGCCCAAACCGAAACCGAACCGAAAATGCGGTTTCGGTTCGG